TGTTCTTCAGTGATTTATTTTGTTGGTGGCAATTGCCTCTTTTACCTTTCTTTTGTTTCGGAGAGTTGATCTTGAGCGGCGCGATATTCTGCCAGTAAATGTTCCAGCTGATTATTTATGTACTTCTCTCGGCTCCCAATTTTTTCAAGTGTTCTGGCTATTTCGTCGTGAAGTTTGTCAAGATAAGACTTTGTCTCTGTAAGTGAAGACTCGATACCATCTTTGTGTTGATGCATTTGTTCCACATGGTCCCTCCAGTCCTTGTTATCTTTACGGATGGTAACTTTCAACTGAGGTAAGACCCGCTCAACTTCCAGTTTCCATGCAGCAGCATCAGTTGTTGATTCCATGATTTCTTCGGGTTTTGAGTGCTCCACTTGCTGATTCTTCTGACTTAGTCTCTTCAGTCCTTCTAAATCCAAGATCTGCTCTTCCTCCTCAAATTCATCTTCTTCCATTTCATTCTGGAAGATGGATTTTTCTACTTCATTAAGCGTGAGTTCAGCATCGTCTTCTACAATATTTTCCTCTTCCAACTCTTCCTCTGGGTATTCTGGTCTTTGCCAGTGAAATCCTGAGGATTTCAGGGCTTCGTCTGCAAGTTTATCAAGCACATAAATACAATGTTCTCCACAACCCTGTTTTAATTTTGATGGTGGAAAGTCTACTGAGTGACCAAAATGACGCAGTTGCTCTAAAATACTTGAAATTGTAGCATTTGGATCGTCATATTCTTGTGGTTGTTCGAAATTTCGTCCTGCCTTTTGAAGAAGCCATGCACAAATGGATGTAAACATAAAGAACTGTTCCCCTGGGTTTGTAGGAATAGCAAAGTAATGCCTTGAAATCGGTTTCATTTTCAGCTTCATTTGAAATTCCCTCTCATAATCAAGAAGTCTAAGTTTGTCTAGAATTTCCTCCATTGTAACAAATGGCATGTATACAAGACCAGGACCGCCATCTTCCACATCTTCTCCTCGTCGTTTTTCGTCTGACATTTTCACAGCAAACAAGTTCGAGTCGGTCGTTAACAAATATTTGATCTGTATCTAAGATTCCTAGAACACATCATTATCAATATCCTGTTATTTAAAACGCCCAATGGATCCCAAAGTTGCGTTTAAATTTTATTAACTCGTACTAAATGCTATTCGTGCTAAAACTAACCTTTCTGTGGGCACCACCAAATTTGATCTCTCGACCTTGAATTTGTAGTATGACCTACTCCTCCCCCCCCCCCCCCCCAAAAAAAAAAAATCCACATTTTTGGGGGGCCTTGTTTGCATTTATGAAAAATTGTGATAATCTTCAGTGACCATTCAGTGGGTTTCTGATTTTGAAAAAATTAACCGAGAAAAAGTATGTTCATTTATGCCGTGCACACCACAGGAACTTATTTGGTATACACTACAGTACATCCCTGCTGTGGTAAATCAGGCACGTAGCAACGGGGGGAGGGGGTGTATGTTTGTATAACCTTTCTTCCCTAACATTACTTTTACTATTGGAACTGTTCATTGAAAGGCTGCACCCCCTTTTTTTTACTACAGGAAATTTATATCAGGGAAATGTAGTACTGAATGCAAAAAAAAAATGGTACTGAAAAAAGTTGGCATTGAATAAAGTTGTTCAACCCCAAATAAACCGAGGGGGGTGGGTCATTTACTTGTATCCTCTCTTCTTCTTCCTCACAGCAGTTTTATCATATTTATATATATATATTCCTACTTGAAGAATTGGAGGGAGGGGTTTTTAGTGATGGTATGACATCATGCCAGTTCGTCTTTTGGGGCACGTTCATTCTTTTATCCCCATCCCCTCCTTTTATCAATCAATAAATTCTATTGAGACTTTTACCGAATCTTCTACACCTAGTGCTATTGTGCACTTTTTTGTTTCGACGGAAAAATATTTTGGATTTCCCATTGTAAAACACAAACACTATAATATTGGGGGAGAAGGTACCCATCTCCTATCCGCAACTCTTCCGATGCCACTTAATTTAATGAGACCAAATTTTACAGATTCTTTCTTATATCAGAAATATATAATGTTCTGAAATAATTTAAATATTCTCAATATTAAACTAAATATTATTATTCCTTATCATTAAAGCGCATTTGCTGCCGCATGAATATATCTCTAGCTACATTTTGTAGCCATTCCAAAAATGTGATTTTGATATAATTCCATATCCATCTTTAGAATTAGATCAGTCACGAAATTGCCACGATCAGTTTAATTCACAAAGCTTCAATCATACAGTCATGTACAACTGTGACTAATATATGCTCAAAGAGCATATATCAAAGGCCATGTAGTGCATAATAATTTGATTGCATGTGCATACACCGAATATTTACAGCTTAATTGTGATTTCTCTTATTCCTTCGATGCTAGGAAGCTTTTACTTGCACATGTATATGGGTAAATATCTCCATGAATTACTACCGCTGAGAAGTGATTAAACAGTCTTTAGGCTAAAACACTGAAAAATGGTATGAAAAAAATGTACCAATAGTAAGAGAAAGGTTTAACCCCCCAATCCCCACCCCCCAACACACACACACACACACACACACACACCCTCACACACACACACACACACACACATGCACACATAGCCTCTCTGAAATCTCTGTCTCTCTGTTTGTCTGTTTGGAAAAACTTTAAGCTTGCCCAAACTTTTGTTTAGTGGAGCTATGATATTTCAGACTGCTAAGGTATTTGACCTTTTGACCTTGACCTTGAGTTTGCCACTTTTACATGAAAATTTTAAAATTTTACTTTGGCCATATCTTTTGAAGATTTATCATAATTTAATGTTTGTTAAAAAACCTTCACTGAAAACCCCTTGTTTGTATATATAGATTTTGGTATATATATACAATTTCTAAAGTTGGTTTTTCAATTTTCGGTACTGTATATGTAATCCTTTTGAGAAGACACATTGTAATTCGATATACATTTATATATTTTTTAAAACTTCAGAAAAATCACAAGAAAATGATTTGAAACATGTACTTTCCAATCTTGCTTATAAAAATAAAATATTTTTTTAAGGGTTCGGAGTGCTAATTTTTAATCTTGCATGCTTCTTGAAATATACCCTTTGACCTTGGAAACAAGTTTAAAACATGAAAACCATTTTTGAACAGAAGGTAGATTCAGTGTGTACCTTTCAAGACCTTTCATTGATTCCTCCTTAAAAATTTTTGATCACATATTCCGGACTTTAAAAATTGGCTGGCACACAATAATTTTTACTCGGTTGAAATCAGAGTTGTGTACGCTGTTACAAATATCTCACAATGCCAAATGTAATGATAAAACACCCCTTCATAATAATTTGAAATATCATTAAGCGATTAAGCAATGCAATGCAATGCTTAATGTCAGAAATTATTGCATTAATAGTTGAAAAAGCTCAATCGCTATGGCATACGGGGGGGGGGGGTTGTCATAATTTTGGAAGGCCACATTCAATGAAAACCGTTGTAGCAGGTCTATACAATTTCTGAAGTTGGTTTTTCAATCTCGCTCTGTTTGAAAGAATATACATTGTAAATCGATATACATTTAAATATTTTTAAAAGTTCTGGAAAATCACAAGAAAATGATTTTGATACATGTACTTGCCACTTTTCGCTGCAATAAAATATTTTCATAGTCAAATAATGGCTTTGTATACATGTTTGAATCGAAAACCATTCGAAGAGAGATTCAGTTGACACTTTCGCCCAGATTTCTTCCTTAATAATTGTGGCACACAGTAATTTTTACTCGGTTGAAATCAGAGTTGTGTCCGCTGTTACAAATATCTAACCATGGTAATGATAAAACCCCCTTTCATAAATAGAATTTGAAATATCATTAAGCGATTAAGCGATGCAATGCTTAATGTCAGAAATTATTGCATTAATACTAGTAGTTGACAAAAATGCTTTTTAAATTAATGTTCATTGGCACTTTTCGTTGTACAAATAATGTATATATTGGTAAAAGAAGTTGAATTTTGGGGCTACTTTCGTAATTTGAAATATTTTATATACGGGAGGTCAGAAAAAGAAAAAAAGGCCTACAGCATATAAAAAGCTACTTTCGTAATACGTTGAGAATAATAAATCAAGTGATAGGTAGTAAAAGAAGAGGTTCCATGAATTGAATTTAACAGAAAAATTGGCCCTCCATAATCATGATAATACCTGGTATCTTAATTGAGATCGCATACGCGTTAGAATGTATTTTTTTTCATTATTCGCTGTTTCGAATCCTTTAATTTTTCGTTTTATCATTTAACTCTTGCGCAAAGAGGAATCCATCACTTATTATTCTTTTTAGTAAATTGCTGGCAATTATCACAGAAAAGACATAATTAGTGGCTCCAGAGTGCGCACATATTTCAAACGAAGTTAAAATCATTATACAAATGTTGCCTATCCTGCCCTTGATCTAAGTCAGAGATCAGAAAACACAGTCTATTTGATATTAAAACTCAACCCATGCTATCAGTTTGATATCAAAATTCTAGATAATTGTGCACTTGTTTTCTTTTTTTATTTTTCCTTTACGATCCACCATTTATAGAGGCATTGCTTTGAAAGATAATTTTGTACACGTGCTTTTTTAACACGGTTCTTTTTTATGTAATACCGGATGAAAAAATTGGGTGTTTTTACATTTCCTCGAAGTACATGTCAGATAAGGTGGGCTTCTGTAGATTTAGCTGATTGAGATAAATAAAACTGAATGAACAAACATTCCTCTAGTCAATTAACTTTCACTTGGATGATAAAATCTTGGATCCGCCAGTTTGGCGGGAAAAATTGTAGAATTTTAAGACTTTATCAAAATCACGATATCCACCCATTCCATATTTTTATTCATTTTATTCATTTAAAAAATTCCAGAGGTAGAGAAAAGTCTGATGAAAAGTGCGATTGCTTGAACAATAAGACGACATAAAAGTCGTCTGGAAAGATTAAACTCCCTAGGGGGCGCTCAACTTCGTCAGCAAAAAGGCACGTTGTGTTTTCCCAAACGAGCAACAAGGAAGCATAAAACACTATCAAAGCATTATTATGAGTTGAATTCCGGTATTATCTCAGTTACTCTTCTGTTGACAACAGGTAGGGATGTTTTATTATGTTTACTTGGCTTAGATTTTTGCTTTTAATAGCATTAAAACGGTTTATGTATGACTGAACTGTATCCAAAACTTTTACTTTCACTTTCAATTGCCAAACGAGTTCCGATTTGTTGTCCCATGACCAGCTGACAAATTTGTCATATTTTTGAAATTATACTTCAGTACGATTTTGTGAAAAATTGATAATATCGGTCATTAAAAAGAGGACAAAAATAAAGTTTAAACTTCCTATTTTTGTTTTGAAATTGAGATCAAGTTTGAGACAGGTGTGGCGACATTGTCTCTATGAATAAATTAGTGTCAGTATCAGTTTGATGCATGATGTTGATACTTATTTAATATGCTAAATAAACACAGGTAAACCTGTGTTTTCTTGTGTATTTAAGTCTGTGTATATCCGTTACTGCTTATTAAGATGCAGTAGCAGAAGAGGTACACATGCATATATATACATCATGTATATGTACATTGCAGTTTTATTTAACAGTGATACCAGACACTGACATATCTGTTTTCTAGCTGTTACTTGTTTAATGTAAGTTTTCTTTCCTTGAAGAATAATTTAGATGCAGAGAAGTAGTTAGTAGATATTCTATTGTCTTTACATCCTCCAAGTGCTCTCTGAATGTAATCTGACCACACCACTTGTGCTTTCTTAAGACTATTGACAGAATTTTTAAAATCTAGGTCATATGAAATAAACCTTTTTATTTAAGAGTCCTTCTTCATTTAGGCAGAAATGAAGGAATGTACATGCAGGTCAAAGTTTCGATTCTTATCTTGTCAAGATTATAAAAAATAGACAAGAATTATGATAACTGTATGTGGAAGACTCCAATATTTTAATACAGGTGAACTCCCCAAAAGATAAAAAAAAAAATTACAACAGAGATTCTCATTCCTTAACACATAGTGAATACTGCACATTATTAAAAGTTTCAATGATGCAATTTTAGAAATATAGTTTTCTTGCAAACTTCCCTTAATGGTCAATAAAATAGTCAAAAACAGCTTCAACCCAGGCAGTAAATAATGGATGCTGCAAAATAAGGTGCCTTACAAAGCTTGAGAAATGATGAAGAAATTCATTGATATATAAGTATATATCAGTAAACCCTAACAAATCATTACAATGATGACAGAGTAACTTCTAGAGTAAGCAGGGCATTTTGATGGGGTTTTAATTTTGTAACTATTACTGTATATATATTCATGGAATTAATTATTGCGTAATTTCACGAGAAGCACCACACGCGAAATAAAATTACTCGCCTTTATTTTTATGGCGCTGAAATCTATGTAAAATCTCTTGATCAACCGTCCATTCGCGAATTATTATTCTCGCGATTTGACGTTGAACAGCCCGTTCATGATAAAAAGTACTGTCTCGCAAAAAATAAGGAAACTATAGTACTTGTGTCAAAATTAACATGCATACCTTCATTAGAATGTTGAAAAAAAGCTTTAAATTTTAACAGGGATTAAAACCATAAACAGCTGATACACTAATTTTAATTTATTTCGATTTAGGAAGTGAATTCAGAAAAGATATAAAGTGTTACATGTATCTCTAACTTTACAGAGCAAGCTATCCTGATAAATGTCTATGATTCAGATTAAAATTTGACTTAATTGGATATCTGGCATATTTATGATCTGCTCAAGTACTGATTGCAGGCATGCAGATCTACTTGGCTTTCCCAACTTTTTTCCTGTTTTATTTTTTAAAGAAGTAAGTTCTTCCGATTTTCTCTTGTAACATTTTTCATGGCAAGGGGGGAAATATGTTTTTAAAAAAGAAAAGAACCTTTTATAGCTAGCATATTTTAGCATAGAATAATTTTAAAATATTAGCTACTGAGGGAAGTTAGAAATTATTTAAATTCCATTCAATAATGTTAAAGAGTTCTTAATATTGGAAAATTATATATTTTAAATTTATTTTGTAATGAAGGTAATGTCGGTATTTACAAGAACTTCATTAAAAGTGTCAAAACCTTTTAATCTTTGATGCTGTTGTTTTCGGTAGAATCTCCACAAACTCAATGTTGAGGAAGATCAATATCTAACTTTTACAGATAACAGAAGTGTCATGCATGCTTTAAAATTCTTTAAAAATAATGGAATCATTTTTTATTTCTTGATACATGTGTGTTGGTCATATATTTTAAATTTATTTTGCTGGGTTTGATCGCCAGTGTTAAATGGCTGTTTTTACAAAAATGTTGTAGAGCATCTGACCAGAGATTTTTTTATTTCAGTGAGGTATGGGTTTGAATTCCGGTCTGACAAAAAACATCATTCCTATTATTAACATATGAATCATCATTTGAATGATAAATACTTATGTATATACACCTACAGTACTGCCGTTATAGTTTTCTGTGCTAATTAACTTTATAAGAAGGTGAAACTTAAGTGCTCAGCTGAGTATATATACTGTAACAGTGTTTTAATAAGTTCAGTGTGTTCATTTTATTCAGCCTTTGGTCAAGACCCAGATAAAACTTAGATTGACAAAGTTGTACATGTTTATCACTCAGACTGGTCTTCGGAAAAAAAATAATCAATAAGCCATAAAAGATAGTTTATAGGTTTTCCATATCAATTTCTTCCTATGTGTGTAATTTAGTATTTCAGAGAGTCATCTTATGGATATCAATCATTCCTCTGTTGGTTCATAACATCTAAGTTAACCCGAGGTATAATGTTCAATACACAAGAGCTTTTTTTCAAGGCCCCCATGCTGTTCTAAGGTTGTGATAAACTTTATAAATGGTATCTATATGGCTGATTTCAATATAGACCTACTTTTTGTATGTGTATTGAATAATTTTCTCAAGGAACCAGGAAGTCTGTGAGATAGATAAGTACTTACAGTGCTCAGTGTTAGAGGGTTTTATCAGAAGAACAATCAGTGTGTGACATTAAGGTGAAGCAGGATGTTGAGGCAGTGATCCAGCATTTTTTTTTTTTTTTGAGGGACTATTTAATTGAAATATAAGGAAGAGGACATTTTTTGAAAGTAGGAATAGCTAAGGAAAAATTTCTGATGGTAATTCTAGAAAATCATTTGTTATTCAGCTGTGATTGCACACTAGAATTTGTTGCATTGGTAAATGATGTATGGAAGGCTAGTCTGTCTTAAGAAAAATCTAGTTATATTTCAAGGAAGTATGTTGTATTCATCATGTTCATTATAAAGTCAAAATAGTAAACACAATTGAAATGAAAATTTGTATACTGGTAATCCACACATTGAAAATGCATCTTCATACTGTTAAATTTTAAAACCAAGGGCTGTTGGTTAGAAGCTAGGGTAGAAAATTTATTGCATTTTATGTGAAAAGATAATTGTCATTTCCCTGATCACTGCTGATAGGTACAATAAAGTAAAAATTATTTATAAAAACTTAAATGGACTGGATGTGGATGACTGCTTACTAGATAGTACATATATGTGTAGTTCACGGAGGAAAATGGAATGTAAATAGAGGCATTCATTCTGTGTTTTAAATAAACTAGGTTACATTCCAGTTGTATACTATTTGTGTGTAAATTGAGTAGTAATTGTTTTTACATTTTTACGATTGAGAGGCCATGATGACTGTATGGATATATTTTTCTATGGCCTTGTACTAAGTGCTTATATACTTCTGTATTATTTAAAATGGACTTTGATTTCATTCTGTGTACATGTACTACCTAACTTAGGAGTAAATTGTGAAGACCTACATTGTGTAGTTGTTCCTAAAGTGTGTTATGTCAAATTGATACAGTCATGCATTAGTATTCATAGAATTGTATATTTAATGGACATTTTAAACCATTTCATAGAATATGACTATTTTTCAAAACTATCCTTTTTATGCCCCGGCCTGTAATAAAAGATTTGGGAGCATTATAGTTTTACCCTCTCAACAACAACTTTAACCTGCATGCCCCATAACTTTTGATTTGATGCAGAGTTGGCAAATGACACCGGCCCGCCGGCAATCTCCGGTAAATTTCGTCCAAGGCCGATAGTTTCTAGAACCATGCCAGACACCGTGTCTGGTAGATATTTCAGAATACCTTGGTAATCAATAGTAAAATATAATTAAAGAAATGAAATAATGCATTATTTTACAAAACTTTGTGAAATTGAAGAGTTTTACACCATTTAAGTATTGTAATACGTAGTATGTCCAGTACCTCGCAGTTATCGAACTTACTGCTGCTCTTTTGCAGGGAAGTTGAGAAAGCTCTAAATCTTGCGATATTTCTTAAGCATTGTTTACAATAGATCTAGTGACATTCGAATTATTCGAACAATCATTATATCGTTGTTACAATACATTGCCTATAGGGTTGAACTCCAGATAGTAGATTGTCAAATAAAGAAAGTTTAGAGTATTTCATTAGCTTTCAAAAGTAACAATTTTCAATAAAAACAAATGAGCTTAGTGAAAAATATCTTCAGAAATTTGTCATCTGAGGACTAGCTCCTCTACAAAAGAGCAAGAGCCATCTTATGCATAAAATGGTCCTGTACTTATATCAATTAATTAACTATCACCCTCTTTCCATTTTCATATATCAAAATAAAGTAGACACTTGGTGCTCCAATGTTCTGTAATGAAATTTCGTTTTGAGAATCCAAATATTTGAAAACAGGCTTTGAGAAATTGCAATGTTCTTGAAATTTGCAGAAATATGCGTATTTGACTACCTTCAGCAAAGAATCAAAATATGAGCACAGCCCACGATCGAAAAACTAAAACATGTTTTTTGATCTTCAGAAATAGGCATTTCATTATGTATTGGCATATTTTGGATCAGAGGTTGTGCTCTATATGAAATATTGAAAAAACGCTTCAACTTTGGGTCATTTTCAAAGGAATTTACAGGATATGAGGAAAATGACGCATTTTATGACGTCATAATGCATTGACTAGATGTGAAATTACGTCACAATTAATAGATACGTGGTCACCAACA